TTCTGCTGATCGAGTTCAACCTAACATTCCTGGAACATCAATTTTTTTTATAACTCATTACCACATGTGAAAGTGCAATAAAATTCTCTACAATAGAGCAAATCTGTGCTCCTTAACTTCCGCTGGATTTTTTAAAATTTGACAAAATTATTGTTGTTGGTTTAATTATCTTGTGGTTATAATTTTTTTCTAAAATTTAAAAATTTTTCAGACTGATTGACTTGTGGTTTTTTTTTTATTTTCTGTAATCATTATCATCATCTGATAGATAACTGTAGTAACCACAGGGCTCCACACTAACGGTAGCCCACTAGCCACAGACTGGTAGAAATTCAGTTTTGGCTGGTGGTTTTCAATTTCCACAAGCCAGTTTGGCTGGTAAACAGACTGAAATTGTGGTAACATCTAAATAAATCTAAGATGTCACTAGCCACTTGACTACTAAGTTGTAGTGTCGAGCCCTGAACTAAATCAACTGATAAATGCAATAATCAAAGTGTTTTCAAATAATTAAATACTGGGAACCATAGGAACCAAAACTCACTAAGATGCAGTGAAAGAAACTGAAAGATTGACAGTCAATCAAATGAAAATGTATCTTTTTTTCACTGAAAGGCTACCCAGCCGAAAGTGTTTACATTACACATGTCTGTGTCTAATAATAATTCCTCAGATGCTTGTGTTTGTTCACAGTTGAAGTAAATATTAACCTGATCAAAATCCCTGCTACTCACTTTCGTTTTCCTCCATGAGGTGAGGATGTGACTCGGGTGTTGGTTGTCCAATTGTCTTTGCTTTGTCACCAACAAATCTGAGTCCTTTTTCACTGAGGGATTTTAGTTTTTCTGAGAAATAAAGAGATTGGACATAATTATATGAGTGCTTGTATACATGTACACTTAATGGAATGAAATATATTAAAATACTGGGCAATTCCCTGTTGATAAAGTTGGAACAAAGAAGCATTACTTTTAAAATAACCATGTCTGCTCCATGTTATTGTTTTGACTCATCAACTAAACCCTTGACCAAAATAGTGACTACCATATAATTCCTCCTTACAAAAACGCCCCTAACTCAAACATTAAGGTCATCAGAGTAAAGGAAATGATCACCAACAAACTCTTGATTGTTAGACAAATTCTCCTTGTCATTCCCTTAGGAAGTGTATAGAGAACATTATGGAGAATATACATGCTGATATTAGGGTGTAAAGGGTTAATTGAACTACTAATAAACATGTACTTGCTGATTATATCTATTTTTGGACCCTCTCCCCCCTCACCCCCATCCTAAAAAAATGGGAAAAAATATCAAAACCCACAGTTGTTAATTCATTAAATCACAAGGGAAGGTACTGAACCTTACCAAGGAAAGCAACTTTACATAACAACTAATTTAGGAAGGGAAATATGCAGGATCAGTATCCCTGGGATACCACAGAAAGACAGCAAACAATTGAGACCAACTCTAAACAATTTAAACCAACAAAATTGTAGTTTTTCATTCCTTTGAATACAAAACCATGAAAGATGCTTTAAAAAAAACTGGAACTAGTAGTGTTCCAACATGAGTCTTACGGATCCTAAGTATGACCAGGATTTGCCGGCGTTTTATCAGCCCACAACGAGCACCCCTGTCATTCGCATGGGGGACCAGCTGTATAATAATTATATATCAAGGGGCTGTGACTAAAAAGTGAGATGGGGACGTAGGACATGGGACCCAGGGACATGGGACTTGCGGACATGGGACTAGGGGATGAGGGACTCGGGGACGTGGGATGCAAGGAAGTTGGGACTCAGGGACCCACAGGGACTCGGGGACGATAAACAAACAACACCTGATTTTTGAGCTGATTTGTAAAGTGTAATTTTCGGTCGTCTCAAGAAAGGTATTCTACTACCGAAACAGGTAGACTATTTTTCTGGAGACATGCATAACAGTAACTGTTGCCATTAACAACAACAGATGAAACTCAGGTGTCTACCTTTGATGGACTGATGCAAATCTTAAAGAATAAATTAGAGTGTTCACAATTTATCCCTGATGAAGAATTGTGGATTCAGTAGAAATCCAGTGTTTACAATTTAATCCAGATGAAGAATTAATTAGAGTGTTTACAATTTATTTTACTTTCTTTTCTCAGAGATTGATGTAAACTAACTACAACGGACACAAGGTGCGATTACTTCATGACAAAAGTATCCTCATTGTCCTTGTACTGAATCTGCAATTCTTCCTCAAGAATAAATTGGAAACACTCATTTATTCCTTAGAATTCGCATCAGATCATCAAAGGTAGACATCAACTTTCTGGAAAAGAAATATTATAGAATACTTTTAGCCGGATGATGTTGTATTACTAAATGAAAGCGGATAAACTACAACAGACAACAAAAGGGTGGGCAAAGAAATGTGAAGGAATGTTATCATGTGCCTTTTGTGATGACATCACTTTTTAGTCATGTGACCAAAAATGATCACTTTTGTCACTATAACATTACACAAGTCTCTGGAAAAACAGTCTAACTGTTTCAGTAGTATGATACCTTTCTCGAGGCCACCGAAAATTATCCTTTACAGATTCAGCAAAAAAAAAAAGTTGTTTGGTTATCACATCCCTGAGTCCCTGCACATCACCGAGTCCCAACTTCCTCGTGTCCCATATCCCCACGTCCCGGCATCCTCAAGTCCTTGAGTCCACGAGTCACTCACGTCCCCGAGTCCCACGTCCCCGAGTCCCACGTCCCCGATTCTCACGTTCCCGAGTCCCACGTCCCCGAGTCCCACGTCCCCAAGTCCCACGTCCCCGAGTCCCACGTCCCCGAGTCCCACGTCCCCGAGTCTCACGTCCTACGTCCTCGTCCTACTTTTAGATGCAACTTTCATGGTAGGGCAACTTGTAAAGGAAGGGAAGCGAATGTTTTACCTTCCTTAATGCAAGCCTCTAATCCACCGATATCGCTCAAGGTGCTTTCTTCGCAAGTTCGAGGGGCAGACCACCTTGTAGCGGTACGATGACGAAATTTCCACCTAGTAAACTTTGCTCCATGGAGAAATCTACAGACTATTATAACATTAGAATGAATTAATTACAAGTCTTTAAGTTATCCTGCTTTCATACTCACCAAATAAGCGTGGACTTGTTTTCGCAAAAAGAGTTAATTCGGGTATTTGCGTTGCAATGCGTTTCACATTAACCGCCATGTTGATTATCTCCAGGGCTCCTCTTCTAAGACTCATGAATACTCGGCAACAGGCCGAAGTTTCCCGACTAAATCACGAAAGTAGTCGCCGCTTTCTTACAAAAGCGTGACTACCGCGTCTTTTTGATGGGTGGGAGTGTAATTCTTTGGCCACTTTGGTTGCAAGAGCCATGTCTCCACATTTTCCGTTAATTCTTTTCTTACTTATCCCTTTTGGTAACGAATGTGAAAGTAAGAAAGGAAGGCGATTGAACAAGTTTATCAAACACTACGAACCTCTGTACTATGACACGATTCATTTGCACAACATTCATCGAAGAGCCGTTGAAAGAAGTACGCATGGAAAGTTCTCCTTTTCCGCGTTTGGGAAATTTCATCGTCTAAACTTGCAACCCGATAGAGAGATATTTACAGCAGATGCAAAAATTCTCTCTGGGGATGGAAAACCGATACCTTTTGAGCGGGATTCCGTGGTACGGGGGAAAGTGGAAGGCCGGCCATACTCGGATGTGTACGGAGTTATTAGTAAAGATGATGGCTTTCATGGAAAGATCTTGAGCGGAAGCGAAAACTACTATGTTGATCCATCATCCTGGTACTTTGACGAGAAGCAAGATTTTCCATCAGTTATGTACAAAGAGGAAGACGTGGAATACGAACATGATTTTGCAGATATCAAACATAGAGCACCAACCGTCGAGGTTCCAGAGCGAACTCGACGCTCGCTCGAAGAGCAAGACCGTTCCCGTTCTCGTAGACAAAGTGAATCAGAGCTCGAAAAAAGCGCCTGTACGCTTAGTCTTTATGCGGACAACTTTTTTACCAAACTATATGGTGGGAAAACCAAAGCGATCTTTCAGCTAGTAAAGCAAGTGCAGGCTGCTCAAATCATTTACATGAACGAATTCAACGGCACAGATTATTTCTATCAAAAAGGAATAACTTTCCGCGTCAGAACCATCGTTGCCTTCAACGACAGTGAAAAAGCGCCCAACAATTTGCCTTCCCAAGTTAAAGACAGCAACGTTGGTATAGATACTCTTTTAGATCTCTTCTCTAGCATTGATCACAGTGGTGTTTGCGAGGCGTTCCTATTTACCGATCGCGATTTTGAGGGCGGGATTTTAGGTCTCGCTTGGATGGGAGATCCGAAAGGGAATGCAGCTGGGGGAATTTGCGATTACTTTGTGGATTATGGTGTAGGGAAGAAACGAAGTTACAACACTGGTGTCGTGACATTCAAGCTTTACGGAAGATTTACACCTCCAAGAGTTTCAGAAATCACGTTTGCTCACGAGCTTGGGCACGGGTTTGGCTCACAGGTATGCTTTTCTCCATAAAATTGAAGCCTAAACTGCCCTTGAATTTGCGCTCTTTCAAGTTGTATATTGTGTAGGGATTTTGTTTACCGATCTCTATTAACTTTGTACATAAAATGCTGGTTAGCTAGATACACACATTGCCGCGTAACTCAATGTAATCTAGCCGCAGAATTTTGGAGCCTGACTTAATACGTTAAGGTCAAATTACAAAACAAAGATATACGATCTACTTCTATCTGTCATCCTCTCTCTTGTCTATATAACAATCGATAAAGAAACATCCAACTTATGCGCTGTATATAAACAGTAATATTCTTGAAAACAATTTATTTACTGATTATGGATCGACATATAAGGAAAATTGGTTGTGTGAAAAGTTACTTACCAAGAAGCGGACACGGAGGCTTAATTTAGTTTTGCATATCTATTTTACAGAGGACAAAAGTGTTTGTGCATTGGGAACTAAGCTGAAAGCCTTCTGATAACATTCTTTGTTTTTATGCCTTATCTTGTGAAATCTAATGTCACAATTGTAGTTAAAAATTTCAACCAGTTGAAAAGTTGTTTACTGTGGATTCCTTTGGAAGGGCTTGGTGCCTCTACACATATTCTGTTCCAACATCCTTTTAAATTTATCTACCCACTCTAGTCACAAAAATGATTGCAGACAAATAATAGAAACTTTCATCAAGTCATCAGATCTAAAGAACAAAACAATATTCAGAAAAATGAGTGTTTCAAGACTTCTGTGGCTTTCAAATTCTCATCAGCAATATTTGACAATGACATCATCACAATGTAAAACTTGTATTTACTCAGACAATATTACCATGAGAAGCATTTTGTGAATGAGAGTTACCTGTATCTGGCATTATCTCTTACCTAATTTGCTCACAGTTGAAACAGTTTTGTATATTCACCCTGTAAAACCTTTATCACAATTAACAAACACTTTTTCTACTTTATAAACATACTTTCTTAAGGATATAATTAACGATGACGTGATTCATGAATTCAGCAGAAGCAATATTGTGTATGTGAGACTTGTAAAGTAGGTCCTGTTGTGGGCAATGCTCAAATTGACAGAACTTGCTTGTTTTTCAAAACAGAATAAATAGATAAAGTATTTAATGGAAATTATGTCTTATTTCCTAGCATGATCCAGATACAGAAGCTTGTGCACCAGGGAAGCCTGAGGGAAACTTTATCATGTTTGACAAAGCAACATCTGGTATTGAACCTAACAATGACAGGTTCTCTCCTTGCAGCAAAAATAGCATCAAGGAGAATGTCAACTTGAAGAGAGCTAGGAAAGAGACATGCTTTATTAAACCTACAGAAGCCATTTGTGGCAACAAGATTGTAGAAGGCACGGAAGAGTGTGACTGTGGAGATAAAAACACTTGCACAGAGGATTGTTGTACCCCAGCAAGTGCAGATGTTAGCAAGGAACAGCCTGACCAGTGTAAACTTAGACGTGACTCAAATGTAACTATTGACTGCAGCCCAAGCCAAGGTTGGTTATCCTTTGATACATCAGACATCCTGCTGGAAGAAAACTCAATCCTTTTTCTCCCAAGATCTCAGTAACCATTCTCTTTACTGTCTCCCATACAATTCTTATAATGTTAGGCCGGAGAATTTGGTATTGGCTCAACTAATAACTCCCTAATTGACATTTTTCTTTATACTCATCACTTATCTGCTTGATTTTGTGTTGTGTTGTCAGGAGAAATTCTGTCTTGGTCACTCATATGAGTTTAAGGGTTAAAAGCACACATAGCCTTAGCAATGTAAATGTATGACTTTTAGGAATTATAAATATAAAAATGGAAAAATGCTTTTTATATAAATAAAACCTGTCTGTTCTTTTGAATTTAGGACCCTGCTGTAGTAAAGATTGCAAATACGAAGGACCTTCAGTGGTATGCTCTGTCACAAATGGCTGCACCAAAAACACATTATGTAGTGGCTTCTCATTCAGCTGTGACCCTCCAGAACCACTTACAAATGGCACCCTATGCGATAACGGACGTCGCCTGTGCTATTCAGGGCAGTGTTCCACATCTGTCTGTCATAGATATAACTTGGTTGAGTGTTCCTGTGAAGTGGAAGAGGAACTTTGTGATCTGTGTTGCAAGGAAGTAGGAGGAGCATGTACTTCAGCAAAGCGCTTGACACAGGTGATTTTGTCCTTCATAAACAATTGAACAAAAACAAGTTGCTTCATCTGCAGGACTGTAAAAATCAATGGTCATCATGTGATTTTGTGCAGAGATGTGCAGAAACAGAAAATCTCTGTAGCATATGGTCCTGCATGGATCTTTAAGTAATTCCCTAATTGATGTTTTTCGTTATTCTCATCACTTGTCTGCTTGATGTTATACTGATATTGTAAGGAAAAATTTTTGCCTCAGTCACTCATAGCAGTTAAAGGGTGAAATCACATGCATAGTTGATTCATATTTTTGGTGCTGCACTCTACTTCTAGCCAAGTTATAAATTCCAGTGTTTTTCATTGCATTTTTTTTAATTATCAACCATTGATGTCGCCACCACATTCATACAAACAATATACAAATTTACAGTAAGATGCAGCCTGCAAATTTACTGTCAGATGGAATGTTTAAATCAAAATGATAAGATCCACCCTTGACATGCACCTTAGAGGTACTCAAATGCCTTGGATTATCTTTAATACTTGCTTCCTGTCTGCTGCATTTGACAAGAAGACTTTTGATCCAGTATAAGATTTATGCTCTAGGGGTCTAAGTGACATTTTTCTACCATAGATGGCAACAGAACTACAGTCATTGAAGTTGGTTCCAGGGACACCATGTGATAACCTAAATGGATATTGTGATGTATATGCTATTTGCCGTCGCATTGACATGGAAGGTCCTCTTCTACGTCTCAAGCAGAAGTTCTTGACAGTGGAGGGTAAAGAAATGATAGTACCTTTCTATTTTGTCATCATTCGTTCGCTGTAATCAATGCTTTTTATTTGTATTGATTACCTCACTAACCTCCCAGTTGGCTCAATTGGTTAGAGCGCTGGATTGTCTTGTGTGGGAGGTCTAGGGTTCGAGCCCTGGCCGGACCGATACTCATGGTCTTAGAATAAGTGAGGAGAATTTGCTACCTTTCTATAATCAAGAAATGGATAGATATTCTAGTCTTCTTGGATAAGGACGAATAAACCTTAGGCCCTGTCTCCTGCAGGGTTAGGGGTAGGAGACAGTAATTTCCCACGCACGAGGTTACTGTGTTGTGGATGTCCTCCCCCGGGGTGGAGTGGGTGGGAATTGGCCCTGAAAAGCCCCCATGGGGAGTGGTCAACTAACATATGTATGCATGTATGTATGTTGAGATATCCGTAATGTTTGTAGTTTTCATTTGTGTGCTCTTTTTAAAAAATTTCAGTTCAAATGGCTATTAGACTGTTACATTAAATGTAAACTGAAACTTTCCAGTAACTCTCTAATCTATATCAATTAGTGTTGGCCTGTCCTTGACTTTTACAAACATGAAGTATTATCTGCACTAACGTGAATATTGTCATATTGAAAATTAGAAGAAAGGCTTTAAAAAAATTTATGTACTCCTATTCTAACTAATTGTGCCTTGATATCATGACTACACCTCCTGGTCATGCATTAATTTGTACTAATTGAGAATAGGAAGCTGGGTAGAATGGGGGCTGAGTCTCTTCTGTCAATATCTTGGAAATTAAGGGAGGGTTTAATCTTCATTAAGTAAAGGTGCTAAATTGGGGCTTGCCAGGGTAAGAATTTATGTGTTACAGTTGAGACACCTCCAAGAAATTGAATGAAAATAGATTCTTTTTTTATCATTAGGTCTCAAGGAAACAGTGAAGAAGTATTGGTGGGCTATCTTGATTGGTACAATTGCCTTTTGTGTCTTCATTGGACTTTTTGTCTTTTTGTGTGCCCGCTACACACCAAGTAGTAATCCTCACAAAGAGGCAAAGAAACCTGCCAAGACACTCCCAGGTCGCAAGAAGCGAAATCCTCAACAGCGACCAGGCCAACAGGGGATAGAAATGGATCCACGTGTATGACATGCATGGTTTTATAATAAACTTTTGATATCAGAGTGCATGGCGATGCTTCAAGAGGCTCCCTTCATGCATTTTATGTGAATCTTGGTTATTTGGTTGTATTTCTAACTTTTGGATCTATCATAATTCACTAGTCCAATGTACCATTGTACAGGTATTTAAAATCAGCGATATTTCTCAGTATCAATTTTTAATTTTTTATGAAATTCCTCCAGTTCCACCCATATCCTCACAGAATTGTTACAGTAGGTAGTCCTTTTTCAAAGCCTGTGAGGAAATTGTCAAATTTTGGAAGTCAAAGTGACTCCAGTTTTCCTTGTGTGATCACATATGGCACTCTTGAAGCATTGACTTTTCTCTATCTTTGGTGTTTATTTTGTGGTCATCAGAGATGGCAAGAGTCCTTATCAATAATTTTTCCACCAGTGGGTCTTTTTGAGTGCCTGTAAGTGTTTAGCAAGTAATTCCAAGGTCAGTATATGATTTGACTTTGAAACTAAAATCTTGGACAGAATTAAAAGGAATTAAAACAACCACTCATCTGAAATCAATGAAATTTAAAAACATTTCTTTTTCCAAGTTTTTTTTGAAGCAAAAAAGGGGTTAATATTTAATTTTCCTTAAATAGACGTCTTTCATTATGGTGGACATGATTATTATTCTTTTGCGGGGAAGGTGGGGAGGATTTTAACAAGTTTAAGTAAACAACAAAAACTGCAATGTAGGTGGCTAACCCAAGTTCAATCTTTACTCTAATGTTGCTAATTTCAGAAAAATAGGCAGTGATCTTGCTTCACATAGACAGCAAATTTGAAATCCCCAGGGCATTTAGGAAGGAGGTCCTATGTTTTCAATATTGTATTTGAAGAGAGGGGATGTGAATTAAAACCCCCACACCTTTGATCAGAGTTAAAAAGGCATTGACACCAAATTGTGTGCCTTTCATATCATTGGCAAGATTGAAGTCATGACCTGTTGAGCCCATAGGGCAGCAGAGTGGTTGGGTGAGAGATGCTCTCAATTTCCATTTTATTTTATCCAAGGTTTTAACAGTTTCACAACTTTGTGCTTGTCTAACGTTTGAGTGTGTTGCTGTTTTCTCAGACAACCACTCTTGCTTATCAAAAATATGAGTCAGTATAAGGGCTGATAATGTTCCTTTTGGCCAAAATGTTATTTATGAACTAGCTATACTCTTGTAATTGAAACATTTGTAGCAATTGGGAGCCACTTGTGGGAACAAATTGGTTGTAGTATATTTTTTCAGAAACAAAGTTTCAATGCTCTGGAAGACCAGGCCAACACAAAATGATTTGTAACAAACCAGGTAAATATGTAACTTAATATGTTGCAATTCTTCTTGTGCTGTGTTATTTATAATAATTAAAAAGAAAGAATGTGTAATTTATAAAAGGTAACTTGGTACATAACACCGGCTAAAAACTCATTTTTAGCCATACGTGCAATCGTGATCATTATTTCGTAATAGCATAAACATTTTCCATACGCATAGGTAGAATTTTGAGCAAAAAGGTTTTTCTAATGTATTCTTTCAGAAATGTTTGTAATGGAAAAAGTCCTAAAAATTAAATTTTCTCTATGGGGTATTGCTCTCGTAATTATTCTTTACTTCGTTATGAAAGTGAACTTTAAGTCTTAATTTCGATGGTGTTTTTATTTCCATTGCTCAGTCTCGTAAAGTACTAATTTTTGTTGTCAGGAGACCATAGTCATTGTCATCTTGTTCCAGGCCCTCTGTTTCGGTGAAGAGGGACAAAAAGGCGAATGACCGACTCTCGCTCGGTTTTCTCTTGCTAACGTCAACCGATAGCACAGGTTATGGTAGTATCAGGGTGGATTTGGAGGGAAACTTTGTATACATGATGGATGTCTTGAAAATTTTTACTACACACTCCCTACCCCTCGTAATTCTAATTTCTGGACCAATCTTTTATGTTCGTGTGCTTGTTCTTCTTACCTTAAGGAAACAGTTAAAAGTATTTTTCTCTGGTAGTAATAAGAGTAAAACTAATTTGTAACCTCAGTGGGAAAAGGATATACAGTAATCTGTTTGTTAGGAACAAGACGTAACTGTATGACTTGTGTAAAGCTTTGGTTAGGAGATAAACACTGCACTGTTTGTAATAAAGATAAAATTGCCCTTTTAAAGTGAGATCTTGACTTTAGTGGCTTTCCAAATGAACAACCAAGTTGCCATCATTTTAATGAACGCCAAATCAGGTAAAATGTAGATGTGCTCAGCAACAGTGGTGGCTTAATGAGGCGCGACACTAGAGGAATGCTTACACCAACTCCCAGTTACCTCAATGGATAGAGCGCTGGACTGTTGTGCGGGAGGTCGAGGGTTCGAGCCCCGGCCGGACCAACACTCAGGGTCTTGAAATAATTGAGAATAATTTGCTACCTTTCTATAACATCAAGAAATGGTTACATATTCTAGTCGAATAAACGGAGGTCCCGTCTCCTGCAGGGTTAGGGGTAGGAGACGTTAATTTCCCACGCACGAGATTACAGTGTGATGGATGTCCTCCCCTGGGGTGGGATGGTGGGATGTACAGGCCCCCAATTAAACCAGCTTCAAGCTGAACTGGCTGGCCTGTCTAAATATCATAAATACAAGAGACCACATCAGGCCTTCAGGGCTGAGATGTGAAAACACTTTGTTTACCAATTGAAATAACTTCTGGAAACACTCACTTAGGATATTGGGAGAACAATAAAAAAGTTTGTAAATCAGTTGCCTCCAGCTTGTAACCTACAAACTTTTCTCAAGTTCTCTTGACATGGTGCTCTTAATTAAATTTTCAACCTGATTGCTGTTGATAAGTGACATGTATAAAAATAAGTGTTCTTTTTGGTCTTTAACATGCTTGAAACTGGCAAAGTTGACAGTTTGTATGAACCTGTTATATTCAATTCAACCTGAGCAATAAAATAGAGCTCTTCAATAAAAAGTATTGTAATAAGTAATTTACCTTTTGGGGTCAGGTGGTTGAATGAACAAGGTACTCTTATGTGCTGGCAATGACTGGCCTTCTAAGGTTTCTGTAAAATGAAAAACCATTTAACCTTCATCAAACTTTGATCACAGCTGCCATAACCCTAAGTAGCATTTTCCTCCCATCTAAAGTTTGGACATCAACTTACGTAATACTAAAACAGCATCTGGTTCTTGAAAACCAGTTAAGTACAGAAAGTCTGTGTTCTGTCTGAATGGATATCTAAAAAAAAAGCAGTAGAGTAGTAACAGGTAAAATTTTGAGACCAAAGTGCATTGTAAATTAAGGTGAAATAATTTACAAGCTACAGAGTAAACTCTTTTACAAGAGTGTAAAGTGTTTTCTTTGTTTCTGGTCTTGTTTACAGGATTCAAGTTCATTTTGTCATTTAATATTGACTTCAATGTCAACAGAGGAAGACAGGCTGAACCAATTAAGCAAGAGAGTAGCAACTGAAAATAATTTTGAGCTTAGATTATATTTAGACTACAATTTTATTATACTTGTTTTACACCTATCAAGTGTTGTAAAATAATATTGTAGTAAAACTTTCAAAAAAAGTTAGAAGGTGAACTTACGGCACATCTGTAGTCATGTATTTTGTTGGATTGCTTGGAATAATCACCAAATGCTTATCGTGAGTTTCACCAAAATGTGTCTTGGAGAGTAAACTTGAGATAAAAGAGAAAAAGAAAATGATTAAAAATTTTTTGCCAATAAATTATACTTTGAGATCAACTACCCAGGCCTTTAACTGGCATAAAACAGACCAACTGCAGTTCACTAAGCAAAAGTCAAATTCAGTTTAGTCACACAGTCATACACAATGCTTTCATTAAATTAACATTATTCAAAGGACATGATATGACATTTAACAATTCTGTTTAATCCACAATGCAGAGCAGGAGAAAGGAAATAAAAACATTCTTTTTATTTCTAAACAAATGACATCAACAAACTGGTGTAAAAATGAAGATAAAATAAATATCTCAAAACAAGCAAGCCTGTTTTGTTTCCCTAGAGAAGTGAAAAATGAGGTCTAGCTGTATGAAACTTATAATTTGAGAGATGTTTGATTGGTTACAACTTAGTTCTTATTAACTGAGTGGGAGATCTGTATAGGAGAATCTTGACCGAGGTCGCCAGTACAGACTGAACGCAGTGAGGTCTGTACCAGCGACTGAGGTCAAGATTCTCCCATACAGACCGACCTAGCTTGGTTAATAAGATGTTTATTATATGGCTGTGTCTTATATGCCAATTTTTTATATTCATTCTTTGTGCCTTTTTTTTCTAGACCGGTCTAGATGCCGGTCTAGATGGGAAAATCTAGACCACTTTCAATATTGNAAAAACAACTGCGAGAAACCATGAATTTCCCTACCATGAATTTCCCCTCCATTTTTGGATAATTCAATTACTTCCTTACTTTGTTTTTCATATACTGTTCTGTTGCTGAACAGGAGCGACTTTAACTTGCTGGGTGTTTGACAAATCTTTCATTGACGAGTAATTAATATTTTCAATTATCAAAGCCCATTCTATACTTGTTTTCCACTTGGATTACCCCTTTGTCTGGCGACAAAGATATTTTGATCGCCAACCAGGATTATCATTTTCAGATCTGTTTCATATCAAAGGTAACCGACCAATCAATTGTGACTATTTGTCCTATTTTAGTACTCAAAACATTTTTAAAGTCATTAGGAAATTCAAAGCGCGTCATAAGTAAATACTCAGCCTGAGTGACCAGTGGTTCAGACGCTTAGAGATTTGTCTTCCTGTTGACAGTGGTGGACGAAGCTTTGAAAAGTTGAGAAAGGTTACGCACCGTAAAAATCAACGTGATTTTCAGTAGATACTCATCATTTTTAAGCAATGACGACGTTGCAACGTCCTAAAATAGTAAAGAGGTTAAGTTGGCAGGACTTGTCTCCTGACAGCTCGAGAATTCAGTTAACAAGACGAATCGTACAGCTACAAGGAAACAAAGTATCTGCTGACATTCTGGAACAAGCAAAGCAAATATGTAATGATTATGTTGAAGCTAAACTTAAGCGCGAGGGCTTCAAAAGCCGAGGCTGGTCTTTCACTTTCCGCGAAAGTTCAGCATCGCGACAAGCGAGCGGTGAAATGGTTTCTCAAGTATCAATCCGTGTGCAGGAAGTTGGTAGACTCCTTGAACAGAGTTATCCCCGCTTATACAAAGATATTTCTGGCCGTATTAATGTCCCTTTTAACAGCGAAAACACCGTTCATGATGTATTTAATAATGTTTCGTCGGAAATCTTGAGCGATGGATTAAACTGGGCGAGAATCGTTGCTCTGTATACGTTCGCTGGTGCGCTCGTTGTTGAATGTTGTAAAGATGGCCGCAATTCTTATGTGCTGGACATCGGAAACTGGATGTATGAATTTGCAGCTCTTTACATGGCGGATTGGATCAAAGGCAAAGGTGGATGGGTGAGAGCTTTCATTTAATCTTCGCCAATTGATCATTTGCAAGAATTATGAAGTTTGATATGTTTAATTTTAAAAGCTGTGTAGGAGTTCCTTTAAAACCGACAATGCGAACAACATGCAACTTCAAACAGTCTTGCACGTTTTCGAAACTGTATTGGCTTTCAAGCCATGCGATGGTAATAGTACTAAAAACGTGATCACACAAGTTTAATTGTAAGTTTTTCCTT